TAGCGACCCTATGTACAGCAGCGCTAAACTGCTCTCGCCTGTGCCAATTGCACTGTCTCGGATACACCCAACCCGATTACCCCAGTCACTGAATCAGTCCACCTCATAGAGGGTCTTCCCCTCCTGCGCTGCCCCTCCACCCTCCCAAGCATGATGTCCCTCTCCAAGGACCGGTCCCTCCTAACAATATGTCCAAAATATGTCAGACGAAGCCTCAGAATCCTTGCCTCCCAGGAGCAGCCCGGTTTAACCCTCTCCCGGATGAATCTGTTTGTTTTCTTAGCAGTCCGTGGTACAAACAATACTCTTCTCCAGCACCACAACTCAAAGACATCAGTTCTCATTCTATCCTTCCTAGTCATTGTCCAACTCTCTGATGCATAACAAGTGGTTGCAAAGACCATGGCCTGTATCAGATGCACCTTAGTCTCCAGAGAGACACCATTGCTCGTTTCTGTAAAAAAACACAGATAATACCCTGGTTATTACGATGATTTAAGGGCCTAGGAAAATTGGTTTAGTGTACCTCAGTTATGCTTTCAGAATAAGTCCAGGTATTATTTTGGTTTTCATTATTGAAAGATATATTTGAATGATCTTTTAATTATTATTCATTGATATTACAGTGTAGTCTGTCTTATTCTATCTATATTTTTAGCTTTTTAACTGGATTTTTTTTCTTATTTTTTTATCTGGTTTTATATGTTCTTTAAGCCAGTTTGCAGTTTACTGAACTTTTAATAAAAGGAAAAATTTATTAAGTAAAAATAAAGTTACAGAACAATCAGTGTTTTGTTTTTCATATTTTAAAATGCAAAAGGAAAGTTATTTTAGGAAATAATTGAATTAGGAACTTTACTAAAGATTTGGCTCAGTGACAAGATTAAATTTCTTTTTTTATGTTATACATTAGCCTAAAATAAAGTAATGATAACTTATAGAAAGTTTAATGGTTTCTTTTTTCTACACTAATTTTGCTTTCAAACATGTTTCTTGTTATGTTTTGCTTTATAGACCCTGAGGATTTGGAAACAGAGGTTCTACAGGAGCTAAATGTAATAAGCAAAGATGATAGCTTGCCATGTGCCATTACTGAGGTGTGGGCTGAGAAAAAAGAAACGAAGGAGCCTGAGTATGTTACTTATTTTTTCTTTCCATTTCAAAAACTATTGCAGCAATATAGCTAATATTGTAATAGCTTATAAAAAATTTAATTTTTTAATTAGATATTCAAATGGTTTTAAAATGAACAGATATAAAGTAACAAGTATCTGTTCAGCAAAATCCATTCCTGCCAGGTATTGACCTTGTAATTCTAGTAGGCATTGTAATTGCTTTTTTTATACATAAAAGTGATTATCTTTAATATATACCCAAGCAAAACCAAATTGTTTCTTTCTCTTTTAAATTACTATGTAATTATATGCTATTCTCCATCTTGTATATATTTGTGAATATAATAATAAATATGATAAATTGTTATAACAAGGTTTTATCTTTCATCATACTTACTATTCAGTCCACAAAACTGACGTATATGGGGAAGAAAGTGTCATCAGTATTGGAGGAAGAATCATTAACAACTTGCAGTAGGGAGGTACCATAATTTTTCTTGCTAAAAGAAGAATTGAAGCACTTTTAAATACTATCAAAGACTTTAGCTTCTAATAGGGATTAAACTTTAAAATAAAACAAAAATTCTCACAAGACCAATAAACAATATGATGAGGAATAGCAAAAGATTAAAGCATTTCTTTTTACTAAAGTTCACAGTTAATACTTCTGAGAGCAGTAGTCAAAAAAAACCAAACAGCATATTGCATTGGACACATGTGCCACCAAGGGCTTATTTAAAGACTATCAATTTAAAGACTGTGGTATGTGTGACCCAAGCCATGGTATTTTCACTTGCTTCATATGGTTATGGAAGTTGGACAATTAATAAGGAATACCAAAGAGAATTCATGCTTTTGAATTGTTGTATTGGTGAAGCATGTTAAATATACCATTGACTGTAAAGATTACAAATGTTTCTGTCAGAAAAGCATGGCCCGTGTGCTCCTTAAAAGAAGCACAGATAGTGAAACTCATCTCGCATGCTTTGGACATGCTATTAGGAAGGGCCAGTCCCTAGTAACACATACCATGCTTGGAAAAGTAGAGGGCCAACTGAAGAGAAGACCTTCCACAAGGTAGTTTGACACAGTGACTACAACAGTGAATTTAAGAACATGAGAGATCATGAGAATGGTTCGTGATCAGACAGTGTTTGATTCTGTTTTATATACATTCACTGTGACTCAGAGCTGATTCAGTGGCACCTAACAACAATGTGTTGTGTGACCATTACCACAATTTTAAAATTTTTCATCACTTTTCAGCAACTTTGAACAAACTTTAAAAACTCAGTCATCAATATACTATGCCTCCCCATTTGCCCCCTCCCCTCTTCTAACAAACTTTGGTCTTAATGCATTTGCCTTTCTTTGATATTTTAAATAAGTTGCATTATAAAATATACATATGCTTTTATGTCTGACTTATTTCACAGTATAAAGATTTCAAAACTTCATACCTTATATTTTTATCTTTTCTGAATTATTTTTGTTTCAGCTGTATCTCTGATATGATTAGTGATTTAATTAGAAGCTTTTTGTTTAAATAGACAATTTTTGTTGCTATGCCATATGTAGTTAAATTTGTCATTTTTATTTTGTTTGTGTAATATTTATACTTTTTGCTGTTAATTTTTTTATATGGTTAACGTTTTATAATACTTAAGCTTAGTGAGGCACGTATATATAGTAAATATATAATGCGCATAATTATTCTTATAATAAGAACACTTATTATATAATGTTGAGTCCGAACAGACTCACAGCTGACCGTTCAGTGGGTTTCAGAGATAGTTAATTGCATTGGAGGAGATTGCCCATCCCTTAGTGGCACCAGATAGGGAGCTTTAGAGGCCTAGTGGCAAGAAGCTGTATTGCAGTTCCCAAGGCACGTGGTTTCAGGCTACCAGCTGCTCCACACACAACACACAACAATGGCGCCAAAAAAAAGGGAACTCTGAGTGTCAAGAAACTACACTGCAATTCTGCAGGTGTGCAGTTTGAATCCACCAGATGCTTTGCTGGAGAAGGAGGGGCAGTCTCCTCCTGTGCCAGTTGGATCAGATTCAGCGGCGCACAACAAATAAAAAGGGAACTCTGGTGGCCTAGTATTAAGAATTTGCTCTGTCAACCCAATGGAAGTTGGACAATGAATAAGGAATACCAAAGTGAATTAATGCTTTTGAATTGTCGTCATCGTGAAGCATGCTAAATATACCATCGACCAATATACCAATGGTACATGGTTTGAATTAGCCAGCTGCTCCACAGGAGAAAGATCAGTCAACTCCCATGTGATTTACTGCCTCTGCAAGCCCATTGGAGGGTCAGCTATGAGTTAGTTCCAATATAATAACAGCAGTACAATTATTAATCATGCACATAGGGTCACTATGATTTGCAGGCAACTCGACGGCACATAACAACAACAACAACAACCTAACGACACAATTGACAGTTGTAATCAACTTATTGGCTCTTGGGAGAAAGAACTGGTAGACTACTCTTATAAAGAGTGCCTTTAAAAGCCAATTCTACTGTGTAGTATGAGATCACTATGAATTGGAATTAAATCCCTCACACCTAAAAATAACAAGTCTGTTAATTAGGAATAATTTTTCACCTTTTATAACCTATATAAATATACCATTATTTTACCAGATGGTATCCTCTTTTGCCTTCCTTTTTTTTGTTTTAATTTTTTAAAGAAATATATTAAAAATGCACTTAAATTTATTATATTTAAAATATATGTTTTCAGCATTTTTTCTTTTTCATGAATGAGTAATCCATTTTATGAATCTACAATGATAAGTTTTGCTTATTCCATTCATCAGTTGATGGATATTTGGTTTTTTCCATATTTTGGTTATTGCAAATATTATTGCCATAGTGAACATTTTTGTAGAATCTTTCTGTGAAAACCATTTTTCAGTACATTAGCTGTTTTGTTATACCTTGGAGTAGAGTCATATGGTAATATGGCCCATATCATGATCATGTTTACCTTTTGAAGGACTGAGGTACATTATATTTGAAATTAAGTAGCACATTACATGTAATTTAAAATGAGTCAAAACATTAAAATAGAGGTAGAAAATGGTTCAAATTCTGAAACCAATAGGAAAAGTAGACAGTTTTAAGTGATTGAGAAGTATTAAGAAAATAAAAACTACTTACCAGCTCACATCTTCTCCCATAAAAATTATGATGCTTTTAGAACATATTCTTTCCATCTTTAAATTTCTTGTTAAAATATATAATGCATAAATTTAATAACCTCAGACTGTATTTAGTTAAAGTGTAGATTTTTCTTTGTTTTTTGGTTTTAATTTCTTCCATTTGGGGACTTAATCATTTTCTGTGCTTATTCTATTTCTTTTTCTTTGCTACATACCATTAAAAAAAAAAACAACACAAACCACTAAGGATAATAAAATGCAGGTTGCTCTACTGGTTACTTTGTTCACTTAGTGATAATATATCTTGGCTGTTACATTAACGTAAGTTCATATGCTCTTTGCTTCATTCTTTTAACATTTAATACATAGTTTTCTGTAATATTAGTATATTGTAATTGGTTTATATATTCTTCTGCATAAGGTTATTTTAGTACTTACAAAGCATTAATTCCCAACTATTAGCATGCATCATAATCACTTTGAAGTTTATCAAAACACAAATATCTGTGCCTTACTTCCTTGAGTTTCTGATTCATAGGCTTGAAATGAGTTCCTAGAATTTACATTTCCTCCAGGTCTCCATGTGTTTCTGATGTCTGGGAGAGACAGTCTGTGATTGACTATTACAGGGCTTGACATTTTTGTTGATTAATCCGTGATGAGGGTTTGAACATGGCATAAAAAAAGATTTATACAAATGAGAAACATATTTGCAATAAAGATCACAGGATGCTATTGAACTTCTGTTCCATTTTCTGTATTTTAGAGTGCTTTTATTTCCAGTCAGCTTTGTGATTTTTTTTTTTTAACTGATATCGTTTGGCAGGTTGGAAGACAAAATCATCATTCAGCAAAAAGAAGACACTGGAGATGAAATCCCGAGGAATGTGAGCCAGTGTAATGACGTTCATATAGGTATACAACACGGCATAACTCTTGATTATTTTCTAGAAGGTTGTTATCAACCCTTCTATGTGGGCAAGATATAATAGTAAGGACTTCTTATCACAAATAGAACTATTTTGTTTAAGTTATGGTCACTTCAAGGACAAGTAATGACAAAAACTGCTAACATAGTTGTTATCAAGTTGATTATAATTTTATGATGATCCCATACGTTCAGGATAGCTTGCATCAGAAACAGATCACGAAGGCTATCTTCAGAGTGGTTTCTGGGTTGGTCCAAACTTCCAGTCTTCTGGCTATTTCTTAACTGTTATGAACTGTTTTTGCCACCAAGGGATAAACCGGATTTGAATATGATTATGTCAGTCATCTGACAAATCTTGTAAGATTGTCATACTGTGATGACTTGTGTGCTGCTGTAATTTTGGAACCAAAATGCCAGCAGAGTCATTCATGGTGGACACTTTTCAGAGAAGCTAAGACAGACTAAAAGCAGGACTGATAATATACTACTGAAATAATGGATCATGGTAAACCTTATAAATAGCAGCAGAACATGGTCTGATACACTGTTGGAAGATGAGACTCCCCTGTTTAAAGGCAGTCACACTACTGGCGAAGATGTGCCGCCTCAAAGTAGTAATTGTTGTTTGCTGTCCACAGAATCGACTCATAGCTGACCACTAAACAGGATTTCAGAGGCACAGGAGGAGAATGCCCATCCTTCTTATACAGAGCAGCTAGTATATTTGAACCAAATTCACTTCCTTAAAGTATAGTATCTTAATGACATAGATCAAGATCCTTTGACGAATATGGCTTAACTCACCATGTAGAGAAACATCCACAGACATGAATGAATTCTCAGAAGGTGGTATTTAGGAAAAATTGGGAATTGTCAAAAGTAAAATGGAACACATGAAGGTTGATGTCCTAGACATGAATGAGCTGAAATAGACTGGGCTTGGCCATTTAGAATCAGACAATGATATGGTCTACCATACCAGAATAATACAAATAGGAATGACATAAAAACATTCATCATGAAAATGAACATTTTAACATCCATCCTGAATTGTAGTGCTCCATATATATAATAGGATACTATCCATATACAGACTGGGAAGACCTGTTCACATGACTATACTAAAATTTAGGTGCTAAATACCAAAGCTAAATATGGATTTCTGCCAACTTTTGCAGCTTGATATTTACCTATCATGAAACTAAGATTCCTTAATGATGACTGGTGATTAGAATACAAAAGTTGGAAACAGAAGGATTGACGGTTGTAAAACCTGGTTTCATAGTAGAAATAAGGCTAGAGCTCACATGAAGAATAGCCTATAACCAGTAACTTATTGAAAGTACATTTTAAAACAACAATGCCACAAACAAAATGAAAGTGACTATGTGTATGCACCTTGCCAGACAGAATAGAGAGGAATCGAATCACAGCCACATGTGTGGAAAGAGACAACAGAGAAGTTCAGTGTCGTCAGTCAGAACAAGTCCAGGGTCATCAACTGGGGAATAAATGTATCAGTGGCTTATATAAAAGTTCAAATGCCACTGAAGAAAATGAAAAAAAAAAAAAAGTACAAACTCTGTAATTGACTTTGAGTATATCCCACAAGAATTTTTATTTCAGGAACAGAAATTTGAAATATTAATAACCAAAACCAGGTGAGTTGTTAGATTATATCAGGGACATGGTACATGAAAAAAAGAAAACGAGGAAAAATAGAAAACCAGAATAAATATCGGAAGAGACTGAAACTTGCCCTAAAATATACAGGAGCTAAACAAACGGGAAAAACTGGGATCTAAGAGGACTAAACAGAAGATTCTAAAGAGTCACTCACACACTCACTACCATCAAGTCAGTTCTGACTTTAGGAGCCCTCTGTTGGGTTCTCAAGGGGAGAAAACTGCTTGTCTTTCTCCCTTAGAGGCAAACCCCCTCCTTAGAGCTAAAACACCAGAGTTTCACAGCCTTTGACTAAGCAGAGTGACATGTTAGAGACTTCACTTAAAAAGGTGGCTAGAGAATACAGTGTATTACAATAAAATGTGCAAAATGCTAGAGTTAGAAAACCAAATGGAAGAAAACACTCAATATTTCTCAAGCTTAAAGAATTGAAGACCTATGACAACAACCCAGAAAAAAACATACATTGCAAAGAGAACTGGGGGTAAGGAGAGGGAGGTAATTGCACAACAATGAATGAATTTTTTTTTCAAGTGAACTGGGGTGGGATAAAAAAGAAACCTCACATGAACTTCGGTGGGGGTGGGTGGGTGGTAGGGGGAGTGGGAAACACCTGAAGAAAAAATGCAAAGCTCAGATTCCAAAAGTGAAGGATTTTATGGTCAGCATATTAAGTGATGCAAGAAGCAACAAAAGAAGATGGAAAGAATACACAGAGTCACACTAGCAGAAATAATTGATTAGCATTAAACTGTATCAAGGAATGGCTTGTGATGAAGAACCAGTGGTACTGAAGGAAGAATTCCAGAAGCACTGAAAATATTGCCAAAAAACCAAACCTTCAAGAATTGATGGAATATCACTTATTTTAACAACTGTGTGCAGTGTCAGATGTGTTCACTTGTTTATGCCAAAAAATTTGGAAGATGTAACAGCCTGGCCAACCACCTGAAAAACATCAGTCTTATTATTCCCAGTCCTAAGAAACTTGTGACAGTGGAATGCATATAGTATTGAACAGTATCATTAATGCACATAAAATCATCTTAATTAAGAAATGGCTAGAGAAACACAGCAACAGAGAACTACCAGGAATTCTGAACGGGCTCAGAAGAAAGAAGATCTTGGTAAAAAGCAGCGAATATCAGCAAGATATTTGCCTGTGTTCTATTAGGTCATGTAGAGACATTCATCTGTATGAATCATAACAAATTATGGATAGCATAAGAATGAGAATTCTAGAACGCTAAGTTTACTCATACACTTTACAGTGTATAACCTGTACATAAACCACGAAGTAGTTGTTCAACAGAATAATAAGAAATGCATGATTTAAAATCAGGAATGATGTCTATCAGGGTGGTACCTTTTTCATTGTACCTGTACAATCTGAGTGATGAGCAAATACTCTGAGAAGTTTGATTATATGAGAACATGGCACCAAGATTGGAGGAGGAATCATTAGCAATTGACAGTTTTCAGGTGACATACTTTGCTTGCACAAAACAAAGATGAGTTGAAGAAATTCTTGATAAAGTTCAGTGACTGGAACCTTCAGTATGGTTTATAACTCCATATAAGGAAAACAAAAATCCTCACACCAGGGGTTTACATCATGATAAGCAATGAATAGGTTAAAAGTTGCAAGGATTTCAGTTTACTTGGATCCAAAATCAGCAGCCATGGATCCAGTAGTGAAGAAGTCAAGCTACATTTATTGTGTTTGGCAAATTTGCTGCCAAGGACCTCTCTAAAGTAGTAAAGAGCAGAGATACCGCTTTAAAGATAAAAGTGTGCCACACCCATGCCATGATGTTTTCAGTATTCTCATGTGCATTTGAAAGTTAGACAATGAATAAAGAAGATTCACTTGTTTCCTTTGAATTGTGTTGGTAAAGAATATTGAGTATACCATTCACTGTCAAAAGAATAAATAAATCTCTGTTGGAAAAAAGACATCCAGTATGCTCCTTAGAGGTAAGCACTGTGAGATTATGACTCACATGTTCTGGGCATTTTATCAGGGGTCTAGGCTCTGTAGAAAAACACTCATGCTTGGTAAAGTAAACTCAAACTAGAGAATCAGCAAAAAAGAAGTCCCTCAATTAGATGCATTGACACAGTGACTGTAACGAGCTCGAGCACTGCAGCGGCTGTGAGGGAGGAGCAGGATCTGGTAGTTTGTTCTCTTGCTGTGGAGTATCGCTGTGAGTTGGAGCTCTCTTGAGTGCACCTAAAACAAGAACAAACATGGGTGGTTTGGGGTGGCTTTTTTCCTTAACATTTCCATGGGTTTGTGTCTACATTTTAAAACTTCTAATCAAATTAAAGTATGCTTTTGTTATGTGCTTTTGAGTTAGAACCAACCCATAGTGACCCTCTATAGGGTTTTTAGAGGCTGTAAATCACATGGGAGGAGAGTACCCATTTTTTTTTCTTATGGAACAGCTCACAGATTTGAATCTCATGCCTTTACCTTGGCAGCGCAGCTTCTTACCATTAGACACCAAAACAGCTTAATTAAAGTGTATCACCAGTTAAATTGACTTTTTTGTAGGTAAAATTATTAGTCATGCTAGGGATGATAGAACGAGAATTGATGCCTTTGAGCTGTGTCCTAGAGAAGAGTATTGAATATACCATGGACTGCTAAGAAAATTAACATGTTTGTTCTGGAGAAGGTTAAACCAGGCTGCTCCTTGGAAACAAGGATTCTGAGGCTTCATCTGACATACTTTGGACATGTTGCAAGGAAGGACCAGTTCTTGGAAAGGGATGTCATGCTTGGGAGGGTGGAGGAACAGTGCAGGAAAGGAAGACCCTCAAAGAGATGGATTGATTCAGGGACTGAAGTAATGGCAGTAGGTGTGTCAGAGACAGTAAGATTGGCATAGGACAGAGCAGGCTTTAGGGCTCTTGTACATAGGGTTGCTGTGAGTCACAGGCAACTCAACGGAACATAACAATAATGATTATAAAATAATAGAATAAATATTTTTCTTTTGTCTTTCTAGTAGACTGTTTTTTAATAGAATTCATGTTTTGGATTAAATGCATGTATTATCACTACCACTTGGAAGTATATAACATACAGATTTTCACACAGTTTCTTCTTTACATCACAGAGCCTGAAATAGATGATTATTCACACTCTAAATGTGACATAAATAAATCTATGCAATTGGAACCATTTTTTCAAAAAGTGATTCAGCCTGAAGACTTGAAAATAACTTCACAAGTTCTGTTAAGTCAGTGTTCACCAGAAGCATCTTTTCCACTTCGATCTCGCTCTGATTCACCACCAAAAAACAAAAGCAAGAATTCGTTGCTGATTGGTCTTTCAACTGGTCTCTTTGATGCAAACAACCCAAAGGCAAGTATGTTACTTAAATGAAAAATGATATCCATTGATCTTTGTTGTTGATTGCTTCTCTTTGAAAAATAGTAAGGTTCATTTTGCTGACTCAAAAACACATTACTGTTCATCATGAAACACAGTGTATAAGAATAATAATAAAATTGAAATAAAAACACATTACTATTGTTAGAACTTGCTTATAGTTGACCCTCCAGCAGGTTTTCTGAGACTGTAATTTTCACTGGAGGAGATTGTCAGTCTGTCTTCTGCAGAGTGACTGGTGAATTTGAGCGGCAAAACAGATGCCACCATTGAGTTAGCAGTACAGCTTCCTATGTATGGTGCTACCAGAGGTCTTCTATGTTTAACATGCGTGCTTCAGATGAAAAACAAAATCCTTTGTCTTTTTTTCCATAGATGTTGTTGTTGTTACGTGCCATCGAGTCACTTGCGACTCATAGCGACCCTATGTACAACAGCCATAAACTCTGCTCTGTCCTGTGCCAATCGCACCGTGACACACCGTGTTATCCCGATTACCCCAGTCACCGAATCAATCCGCCTCATAGAGGGCCTTCCCCTCTTGCGCCCTCCCTCCTCCCTCCCAAGGATGATGTGCTTCTCCAAGGACTGGTCCCTCCTTAAAACATGTCCAAAGTATGT